ATCAAAATATCGGTATGCCTAGTTAGTAATATTTTTGATGATAATTTTTCGTATTTTTTTCTGCCGAAAGCCGGGTCCTATTATAGGTTCCAACTGACCCAGACTCTTCTGTGCCCATAGGATTCAAATACTGGCACCCAGTCAGAGCGACTACGGATAGACCTTCGTTCATATCGGAAAAACCAATAATTAACTCTGCGAGCGAGCACTGTTCGCTTAATGAACGCGCATGACTTGGTACTCACCGAAAAAAAAATATTTACATTATAATACATGGCGTGCAAAAATACTCAGCTGTACACCGACGGTTGCACAGGCTGGCTGTACGTAAGATGGACGATATGCGACTTGCAAGCCATCGCATTCATAGGGCCAATAGGGAAGACCAAGCAGTTCTTGAAGGTACTGAAGAACTCGAGCAACGACGCCAAAATGCCTGTCGTCTCAGTAATAGATATCGTCTGAGAAAGACGGTATGCTGGCGCTTACGCGACGAAGTATAGATATCATTCAAGATAGACATTAGTGGGAACAAGCTCACTTTATCATTGGGTGCTAGAGTTAGCTGTAGGGCAAGATTTATGTATAAACTTCGATAACTACTGTTGTTTTACTGTTCGCGATGTGTGAGCAACGCATTACTCCCACGGATTTCTAATTTCTGACCATATTCGCTATTCAACCCGGATAGCCGACTGTTAGGTCGGTTGATGACGAGGTGCACCCAATGGTATAATGCGCCGCCTACAATACGCTCAGATAGGAGGCCATTGACTTGAAACTCAGGAAGGCGTTAATAGTGCGAAATGAAGTTTTCTTGAAGCACATACTTGAATCCAGGGAGCAAAGGACGCAAAGCAACCTCTGATCGAGTGCAGGCTCAACGAAAGGGACCGGCTCACACATAGACTCAGAAGAAGATTACGAGAGGGAACGGGGAAGCAATTTTGCTTTCCGCCAAAACATCCGTCGAGGCAAATTTGCAAACTTCGAGCAACGATTATCAAGTCAGCACTGAAACTAACACTATTAGTCAATTTGAACATTTTCAGGGTATTTTTTTTCTAAATTCACATATTTAAGTGTTACCGCTAAAGCCAGCACCATCATAATCGGTAAAAAATAGATATACAGAAGGTGTCCTTAATTTTAATATTAATATCGCAAGATACTAGAGTGTACAGACGCTACCGTTTTCGACCTAGATCCATCGGGAGTATGTATCCATCTTTGACACGGAACGTATAAACACACATGTGTTAGCGCATTAGGAAGAAATAATCCAGCGGATAAATATGTCTAATAGTTGGCTGCGGACTTCTTACCGTTCGCCTAGAGATAGGACGCGAAGAGTTTCGAGGATCTTCCTGCGTTCATATTTGACGTTCTGTGTTAGTCAGTTGGATAATCGCACCTATGTACACATGTTGAAATGTTATGCAGTACTACGAAATCGCTAAGACTACGCTGTAAATTGCGGCCAACGCAACACAGCATTCGACGATAATAGCATCGTGTGGCGTTATTTTATTTTTACATTTTATTTATTTACGCTTTCTTGACCCAGAAGAAAAGTTGATTGAATAAATTCTCGAGCAATAATTCCAATGCGTAACTTTTCCTACGTAGCATGCCTAATTTGGAAGGGTAATTGAACCTATCTGGCTGTCAGAGATTTATTTAAATTGTGTTTCTTTACTACTTTTATTAGAAACAGGACAATATTGCTTAGGTCCGTACAGATTGTCATACGCAAATCTACACGTATTTGTCTATACGTCTAAATTTGCGGCAGTTAAATAAACAAGGCGACAAATTGGCAAGCATCAGAAACTAGAGTGTCGGAACAGAAGGCACATTAGTTATAACAGTACTTAAGAGAACTTATACACCCATAATTGCCGATTGTATCGTTCACAAGCAGGTTCGTGCTGCAAACACATGTGTACAGCATAACTTTTAGGGTGCACGCAACGTAAAGTTAAAATGTGCATATATACGTTCAAACAGGCTCTGTATACAAGCGCATAAGTCAAAGGTTTTCTCTTGACGGAAACTGTTTATGCTGCCGTAAAGCATTGACCGGGCTTTTCCGTGCAGATTCATGCAATGAGACGGTTTTTAAGTGGGCCATCAGAAACGTACGATACGATGTCGACTCTTCGTTAAAGGTACCCAACAGCCTCCAGCCTCTAACAGAAAAACTGTATAAATCTATGTTGCTGGCTTGTGGCCCGACCTTCGTATATGCATAGTTCATCTAAAGATTTACTTCATTACTATTGCAATCTGGCCATATTGTGATTCAGTGCGGTGCTTCAACTGTACTCGTCAGTTTCTCTAGCGATCTACCCTAGCGATTGTCAAGCATCTTGTAGAGTGTAGTCGATAATATCGACTTAAAGGCTCGGTTGCTTTAAGTGAGTCCTAACATTTCTTAACGATAAATGATGACGAAATCTATATACACTTGTAAATCTGGCCTCTGTAATGAGACACAGTTGGTTGCCTATGCTCTGTTCCTCGAAGCTTTTGCTGCTAGCCATTTCATATCAGATCGGGACATTTTGAAAAACCAATGTCTCGCTTAGGTAGAAGAACAGCTCATACTCTAATTAGACTGCCGCCCGACCCTCTAATATAATACCGCACGACATTTTTTTCGGCCATGTTTAGAAGTAACTTGTGTGAGAATTTGAAGATAGCCGACGGCAGCCGCTCAGTTGTTCAGTGTCGCAAGTAAACTTGAATCGATCAAGGGAACATCATTAGATGCGTAGCAGTTCTGTTTATGATGTAAGGGTATTAAGAAAATATACATGTCCTTCTTGCTTATTGTCCTAGTTAGTGAAAATAGTATAATCAAAATCGTTTGTAAAATACATGTTTCTGTGGTACAATATGTACTTAAGTCCTTTTGCTAAACTTGCCTTGGGACTTCATGAAAACATGACTTCTTGAAATGTCTCGACATTGAATGCTGCGTTCTGTCATTGTGTCTCCTCATTCAGGGGGCAACGATTCAATAGAAACACGATCAACTGATGTGTGGAGCAATAAAATCTATTTCAGACATACCATTGAAAGAAACTACTTTGGAAACTGAAGAAAAAACCAAAGCGGTTTTGCAAGAAACCCGATTCACTTTTGTGTTTGAAAGATGGGCGGCTGAACGTACGCACAAATAATAAATACATATCCGAAATCGGCCATCTTGTGTCTTGTTTCATGTAAACGAAGGTAAAAGGACACTACTTGACCCGAACGGTGTCACCTTCACTACATAATAGACATGTTTAGGAATAGAATTACAAACCGGAATATCTCTTGTTATTTTGAACGGACCTAGCTTAGGTGAATTCGTTGTGAAATACTAAACAATCAGATCAAACAATATGCGCAATAATGTGCAGGCAGAAATCTTTTAAAATGTTAATGATTAAAATACAGCAGAAACATACAGTTTGGAATTATACTTTGAAGTATTGCATTAGGCTGGAATTCTAAAAACAAAAAACCAGCTTCAATTAGAAAAAAAAGATGATAGAAATTCATGATTAGATGAATCATCGTGTAGGAAAAGATCACAAAGGGCTGACTAAGGGATTGGGTATGCGTAACGTAAAGGCGTAGCAGGGCAAACATTTTTACAATTGATCACTAATGGAAGCGCGGCTAAGGGGACAAGACGATTGGGGACAATCGCAAGAAAAAGCAATTTGCGTTCTTAAAGAAGACTAGTATACGTTAACGGAAATTTGTGATAATCATTTACATTAATATTGCTCTTGGAGGAACCGAGAAGGGGTTCAAGGCCCTTAAAGGACGAAACAGCCGGAAGCGGGGGCCAGCGGTAGATCTTCGTAAACACCGTCATAAATATGGATTCGATCTGTAATATTAAGAGAAAACGTCCCTTTAAAGGCACACGGCCATTGTTGGCTTGCTCATTTAATTTGCTATTCTAGCGGTACGTTATAAACAAGCACTTCGAAATTTCGAAGAAGTACTTCGAAATTTATTTTAATCTGATAATTGTCTATCATGGCTGAAACACGTATAAAGCTCTGTGGCCCAGATAAACTGAGTATTTACTAACATACATTTTTCCTAACTTGTTGCATTGTCAGACTCATCGTTTCGGTAGCATGCTGTATTCTAAAAAGGTTCTGCCACACGTTATCCTTTCAAGTATTTTATGTATATAAAACTTTGTATATAAAAAAAAATATTTTCAACCTCATTATATATTACGTTCTCCATTCAACTTGTGTATATCTTTTCACAGAGGTATAAATAAATGCTTATATGTTATATAGTAAGGTAATGACACTATCTGATAATGTATGTCACATAATACAAAGGACCTTCGGCCCTTTAGAACCAGAGACTATACATGTATAGACGACAACCTCGCTGGTTAATCATGTTTATGGATGTAAATACTATATGCGATCCTGCAAACCTCGAAAATCAGCTGCCTCAGCCGGTAGCAAGAAAATGGTCTTATCTATTGATATTTTTCGAACGAAGACAAGGCGCTAACCACCGCGTTAGTGCGTGTAATCGCCCCAAGCGGCGTTTTCAATGTCACCCTATGTATATACACCTATATCAAAGCAGCCGGGTGCATTCAACCCCTCGCTGTGGCATTTTTTAATTCATAAAATAAAAACTTTTGTTGAAAACTAAAAATAAAACTTTTTTTCTTGGCTTTTATGAATCAGCTGATAATCCGACTATCGAAACTTTTTGCACACAGTCTGTCCTATCTTGATTGTCGTTTTCTGACCGCAACAGCAATGAGCATCGTTGTACGCTGGGTGGATGGATTAATGCAAAACTAGATTCACTCTACTATAGGCCTTGCGTAAATACCGTCACCGGCAGTTATTTCATGGTCCATGCATTTGGCCGAAATATTCAAAGAGCCAATTTCATCGATGAAATTAAAGCAAATTTAGCTACCTAAAGGTACAGACTAGAGTCAAACCATCATCTTTGACGTCTTCAAAAATTTATTAGTCTGTTTCTCTTTAACATCGTTCATTTATTATATTGCTAATTTGCTTTCCTCTTTGGTAAATGCTTTGGTGTCATGAGATTTTTGTTAAATCTCAATCTTTAGTGAGCTTGCATGTACCCGTGGTCGTAATCAAAAGCCAAGTATTGATAAAAGTAACATTACCTTGTAGTCTTTTCTCGTATGGTAATGTTCGTAATTCGAAATTTCGTATCTTTTTCACATCTCTCTTACATCCCGGATTACCCTGTTCAAAAGGGTTCGTCGTTCAATTCCGTCATCTGAAAAGCTTCAGACAGCTCGGTCCGGAAGACTGAAATCCAGGTAATCAGAGCGAGCTATCCGATACATCGATAAGTATGCCATGTAGTCGTTGATGAATCGTAGAAACGTCCGTAAAAAGGGTATTCTTCTCTTTCCTTAGCTCAAAAGTATAACATAATCGAACGTTCGAGTTCCGCCCCAGTCGGAACAAACAACAACAGCTTGGTTGACCGGTAAAAAATAACTAGCCAGCGTAATAAATAATGTCAGGAATATCTCATTTGTGTATTTAAACTAAATGAACGATGAACGTTAGGGTTCTTGAATTAAACGCGTGCATAGGATTAGATCTATCTAAACAAAGACACTCATGCAGATCTGACTGGCGTTGAATCGCTCCCTATAAAACATCGACAATAATTTTGTTATTAAGTTCGATACCCTTAAATTAGATGACAAATAAAGACGGCATCCCGTGCTAGCCCTCTATGTCTCTGCGGCGAGCTTAACAGCTGTTCAATAGCGGCTTATTAGAGTTTGCACGATAAGCTTGACTAAATGCGTGTACGGGCGTAACATACTTAAACATACGTGGGAGAGAAAGTCAAATATCTTACAATATCCTACTGTATGGCTATAATGCCACATCTGCGAAATAGGTAGAGGCAATCTTGTGCTGCTCGTTTTAGGTCACTGATCGTATACGCTCGAATCGCAAAGCCCAAACACAGGTTCGACCCACAGCCTTCCGAGAGCTTTCTTTTGTATTGCATAATATTTATAGGATCTGCTATATAAAATGTTACGATGTTATACATAGTTAAATTCAATAGTATTATTATGACAATTAGTCCGTTTGGCAGTTTCAAATACCTTCTGACTGAGAAGGTTTACATGTGTAATACATAGTCAGCTCATCCCGTTGGGACGCGGGCATGGCTGTAACAGTTCTACGTAGAAAACATTTAGCCATTTACATTAGCCATAACATTTAGAGAGACTTTAGCCTATTTCGATAGCAGCGAACAGAACGGCTAGTGGTAGTGGTTCATGTTATTGCAACAACAAAAACACGGGCCTTCTACTACCGGGGTTCGTACGTGGCCGCTGCCATTAATTAGCTCTAAATAGAGTCCTGTAACTGCAGCATTCGCCAAGCTCTCACCGAAATCATTCGTTTTACTTATTGATCTCTTCGACTAAGAGACTGGCGGGCTGTTCAAATTCGGCAAACATGTGACACTCGTTCTCGAGGGGATCGGTTGCTGAAGCGCAGATGAGTCCGAAACAACTGCAAGTAAAAGCGAACGTGACGTTGTGAAAACTGAATCGCTCGAAAGCGTTGACCCGTACCGAACATATACTTTTACATAGGGTTAGTATGGGGCTTGAAGTGGCTTCGACACTTCAAGATACTTTCCAAAAGCCTATCTGATTTATAAATCTGTTCATTAGACAAAACGATCTCAGTTTCATCGCTTGTTCATAGAAATTTAGATTCGTCGAACTTTACTGGCTCTTAAGTGCATGTTTATACACATGTAATAGAGCAAACGGAAGATACTGTATATATAGTGTTTCTTTGGCAAATTTCTGGTTTGCCTATAACTATATATGTAGCATTCACTCTCTTAGAAATCTCCGTAAAGGTGTGCTAGAATCGCACAGCGTCGTTTCCTTCTCCTACGAACATGAAGTGAGGGTAATGCTAAAACGTTTTCAACCCGCAAAAATAATATTTCCCTACCGAATTGAAACGCTTGTCGATAGTTTCAACTCAAAGGTTTCAGTGGTCCGATGTTACTTTTCCGCTGGAATTGGATTCGTGAGTCTCCTATTCTAAGGACTTCAGAAATGTGAATCTCACAGTAGGTTTAGCAACATGCGTTTGCGTATTATCTCAGATGTAGGCGGAGAAAATAGAGACGTCTCAACAAAGAAACCAGTTTGTTTAAAGAATAAATCTCTCCCAGAGCTATATAAGGCTTACAGGAGAGTAGACCTTTCCCTGCATTGGCATGTGCACGTATTGCACAAACATACTTGCATAGTACGACGTAGCGTTCTTGTGTGAGACATTGTGCTTTGTTACCAATTCAGCGTGTACGCCTCGCAAATGAAATTGGTCGCTAACAATTGTTTTACTTGACCCAGGCTATACGTAAGAACTGAATAGACGGAACAGCCGGACATCAGTCACCACATAGTGCATGACTTTATGACCTTACTGCACGCGCGTGCATCAGCCGTGTTACGTAGACACATCTGTAAAGGGAATGTCTGCGATTCGTCACGCTTCGATACTAAACGAGGTCGTGGCTTAAACTTGTTAACTGTCCCTTAATGTTTATTTAGTTATGACATAAAAGTTTTTCCCATAGTCTTATAGTCATAGTTCGGTACTTAGAGTCCGTCGCATTCACTTAAACTTCACCGTGTAGCTTATCACAGTGCTGCAGGTATCAATAATATTGATCTTCATAATGCAAATAAGTGTATGGCGATATCTCTATGCTCAGTTACATGAGTTTGCCTGAAGAAAACAGACTAAAAACACAAGATCTAGCAATTGAATGCATACAACACGGTTCGCGTATAGCTAGATCGTATGTATCACTGCTAATTGCAACTATTCGTTGCTAGTATCCTTAGGCTCACTAATTAATATTCTAAACGGAAAATTTCTTGTCAGCCAAAAATAACGCGGACTTATGCTGTCAACAAAAACCGAAAACGTCGAGGTATTGTAAAAACGTCGAGGTATTGTAAAGTACCTGGGAGCACGTAGGTCTCCGGTAAACTCGTCTTGATACTCCCAATGGCGATGCGCCGGGTCCATATCGCAAAACCGAAAATTCTTCATGGGGAAATGCATACGGAAGAACAGCCTGTGAAACAAAATCATCACAGATAAACAGATGACAACCCATTAAATAACCTTAGCATAACTGCTATAATGCAGTATTTGGCAGCTTCAAGCTACTGGGTGAGCAATTCAGTACTCGAATTATTTCCTTTCTAGACGTTTAACGGTATCTATTACTAACGTCATATTGCCTTTCGCATGGTGCCGAGAACATGTATTGCCAACAAGCTTGAATTAATGGTACGATGGCTTCGAACCTGCACGAGTTGTCAGCTTGTTTTCGACAACCCTTTGGGACGTTGCTCTTTTTTTTCGTCTCTTGTTAGAGTTACAACAAACCACGAAATCAGTACCAATGCTCCCATAATGCACAGTCACATCTCTGATCATTAGTAAAAAGGAATAATTATCTGAAAGATGTAAGTTAAGAATATGGCTGAGGGTTATGCACCGTCTCTCGTGATCCGTCAGCGTAATTCCCTCTCCGCTGACTTTCATGATGACGGCTGCGATCGTAATAGCCTTCTCCGAACGCTGGGCAAAGAGGTGGTCAAAAGCGTTTTTGACTGCGTGAGGGCCTGTTAGCATGCCGATCTTGTGGCAACCTAAAATACGTCAAATAGGTCCAAATGTATAATCAAATGATGCTTAGATCATCGACCTATCTTCGTTTATGAACTGACTAACGCCTACCATAGACTCAACAAGCTGTGTATGTAGACTCATGCTGCTCAACCTTAAGAGCTCATTGAGAAGAAATATGGTTGTATTCCCTCGTGATCAATAAAAGAGGAACTATTATATTTCATATATGCTCGAAATGACAGTGTCCGGAAGCCTCAATGTGATCGGCAGCCTTGTCAAGTTCGCCGTTCACTAGGTCACCTACGAGACTACATCGAACATACTGTTAATAAAAAACAAATAAATAGATAATTCATTTACCGAGGTACAATACCGTGAATGCCACACCATGGTTGTAATCGGGTACCAGACCAGCCAACGATTGTAACAGTTTATCTGCGCTCTTTGGCTCGATCGGAGGCTCGGTTAATAAAAGGCGGTGTGGGAGTGACAGTGCCTGTAGGCTATGCTGGTATACCAGGGCATTCAATGAACTGAACACGGACTCAATATCAGAACCGCGCACCCTTACTCCGCCAGGGGCTGGCTCTATCAAAAAGTGTCGAACCTACGACGAAATCCCAAAAAAGAAACAAGAAACATCCGTGACTATGTAACTGCGACATCACTTCAATTGACCAGCGATTGACTTGTCCCGGAATCCTTTGCCGTCGGCAATTGATTCTTATTTCGTACCCCATGTACGTTCGAGCGGCTCGACTAAAGTTCAATCAGTTACCAAGCTGAAAATGAGTAGCCACACATTGCGACAATGACCGTCTGTTCGTGATTGCTGACATTGATCGAGAATAACTGAAGGCCATATTGTAGAGATCTGTATTGTTTCACATAAAAAAGATAGTAATAATAGCAACCAGAATGAGCTTACAAGTTCCTCGGGGCTCGTGTGTTCTCCTCTGTCAGGAACTTTCATGGCAAGTCCGTATGCTCCAGGGTAGCTCGTCGAATTCCGTACGATAAATGTACCTGGTTGTTTGTCCTTTAGGTGGCCAACGGCTGCGTCACGGGTCATATCCGGTTGGTACCAGTGGGCCGAAGAGACGGAGGACGGCATGGTTAGTGACTCGGACACCACGGGCGTGATTGTCCTATTGAGCAAAAATAACAGGGAAACGTATCCAATAGATAGTAATTCTATTGACCTCTTGATCTTTTAAAGAGTGCCTTTTTCCCTTTTTCGTAATATGGCAATAATTTCTTTCCTGACACGTAACATTAGTAAACTACAGAATAACACAAAACACTACCATGCTGATACCTACGTTTTGAGTTCAAGTTGGCCCGTTATTTTGTTTTTGTGCTTAGACCATGTGTGCTTTCGTAGTGTTACCTTGGTGGAGATACTCTTTCCGGAGTAAACCTATGAAGCTTTTCGTTGGATACTGATAGATGTTTAGCTGTTTTTCGTAACGATTCGTTAACAGCTTGCAGTGTAGCAATGGCATGGGGGGACGACGATCTCTGCACGTAGCGGACCGGTGACACAGATCGAACTCTACAAGAACGAAAAGCGAACAATTCATCACGATCATAGGTCCACAGAAAGATCTCAAGCAAGTCCGTTGGGGGCTTTGGGCTTCGTAAACTAATATTTAAAACGATGGTTGCGTAGCATTGTTAGCAAAAAAAAAAATTAATAATTAGAGACCACACCCTGTCAATAGTCGACACTTAAATAAAAATACGTACTAAAGTTTTGGACAACAAAGTTCTTAGGTAACTGCGATACTCGTCGAGTGGCCATCTGCTCAAGTTGAGTATAAAACTATATAAACAAACGTCGATTACTGTGATCCAATAGTTCCGACTATAATTGTTTAGAACATCTCTTCATGATGTGACAAATAAAATATTCAATATGTCGTAATTGTCCTATTTAAAATTTTGAAAATGGCAGGAGATACCGATCATTAACAACGCTGCATTGCATTTTTGTCATCTGCATATTAGTAAAGTTAAGGGTTATCTTACAAAGTATAGAAAGTTCTCACAAACACTCACGGAACTGGGCTCTTTGATTTCGAGCGTCGAGAAGGCGGCGGCGTATAAGCTCGGGTTCGCTGTCGCAGGGACTCAGTTCGTTCTAATTCCCGTTTCTGCTTCTCGGAGATCTCATTCATCTGACGCACAATCTCAGGAACGATCTAAAAATAGAGCATGAAAAAATGAACCGACTTGAATCTGGCTTCTATTTATTTTTCAGAGACGATAAACACACCGATACTTTTCATGTTCGAGGCCAATCACTTCAAAGGTACGGGGAAAAGAAACGTACTTATCAACACAAACTATGCGGCCTCGAGATACCGTTGTACCTAAAAGTTCCTTATGAAGAATCATGTTTGAGAATAAGTGTGATCGTAAAGACCCATCTACATCAATCACGAAACTACGCGTACGTAGCAGAGAAAGAAGCTGACTTTTTATTTCACTTCTATTAGATTGAGGCAAACGATTTTACACAATCAAATAGGCATCATGTCACTTCTTCACAGGGATGGTGTTTAGGACATAAGATGTGATTGACTACGAGCACGTAAATTTCATTGTAACATTTTCTTTGACTGAGCTCTATTTCGAATACAGATCTTCACAGTAAAAAGTATGCAGGTAACTTGCATGTTATGGTTTTGTAGATGACACAACTCAAATCATCGCTTACGACACGGCTTGAGGTTTGTACGTGGATTAAGATTGCCCAACGACCTATTAAAAGTTCGCCTCTTTAATGCGGAGCAATACTTTTCTTAATAATCACAATGTGCGTCCGACTGTTAGGCTTGACAATAACAAATTCGATGTAGTTATTACTAATTATGAAAAATTACAATTATATAATTTATATATTTTACGCTTCTTGAAAATGAAGACGCTACAAAAGTAAAAAAAAAAAAGATTGGCTTTCCACATTTAGGAAATTTACAATATTTTTACTAATTGATTATCCAAAATGGATATAATACAGTCTTCAGTCAACTCAAGCATAGGTAGACTAACGATGGACTCAGAGAGCTCCTTTACAAAAATAACCGCCTATGAATTAGGTCTACCGGACAATAGGCCTTAAACCTACATCCTTTGGACTGCGGTTTTTGCTTTCACTATGTCCCTAATATTCCGAACATAGGACTGATCTTGTTTCTGCTATCATCGGCCAGTTTCGTAGAAATCCCTTTTCTTACTATTGAGCCAAAAATTAATTACGACGATGAAGGGATTCGACATAACGCAAAAACGCATTCGTCCATAGCCTTTACAAGTACAAGTAGTCAAGACGCGCTTGGCCGATATCTAAGTATAGGACAGACATGCATTTACCTTGTAGAAAGGATTTTGTACGGGCAGCATACAGATGGGGTCTGCCTGTACAACGGCATTCTAACAACCGAACTTGCCGGCTTAAAGGCGGGTGTTTTCCCTGTTTAGAATAGATCAGTCAGCTACAGTATGCTTCTAGGCTGCCTGCGCGGTACTTCTATTGCTAACAAATTAATAGATACTATGACTCGCTGTTATCCTTAGTACAAAAGCACATTTCCTACTAAAAAATCATACAAAGCATTCATTTCCAGTCTCCGCGCTATTTTTCGGCATTAGCCCTAAAGATTATATTATAATAAGATCATGTTACGTACGCTCTTTTCTGTGTTTTATTAAACTTACTAGATTTCAACGTTCTACGAGCGGCCCTGATCTCAGCTATACTATATCGTCCCGAGGGCTCGTTAGCATAGTAAAAATAGCAGGGATCGCTAAAAAAAAAACACTACGTCATTCACTCGAGCGTAATACCTATCCGGCGCAGTCGACGCGAATGATCACCACGAGATCAAAATCACACAACCACTTCCAGCATTTTCGTGTACGAAAATGCTACTCGGCACCATCTCCGTAATATTGCCCCACCGCTATATCATCGTCATCATCAACGCGATTTGCAGGCGGAGTGGGTCACAGGCTACTTCCGAATGATTCTCGCCTCTATCTAGCTTATTGACTCCTGCTGTACGTCGCGAGAGTCCCTCTAGGCAGCGCACTCTAACTGAAAGCAGCGGACGGACGAGTAGAAAGTTGAAAAGAAGCTCATCGTCAAAACTCCTTTTTGCTATCGGCCGGCATTAGCGGTAAAAGTACGAATCGCACTATCGTCCTGATGGTGGCAACGCCACAGATCGCATTAGCACGTGGTCGTAAACGGCCGCTCTCTCCGTCTTGAGCCGGCCGCGTCTGTAAATGATTCACCGATTTACCAATCCGGTTTCAGTCAGATGCCGAATTTTCACTGAGGCAGACGTGCTGCAGCGTGTAAATGCCATAGATCTCCATCATTGTCTGTCGATGTAGTGGCTTCAGAGCATCTGTACGTTCATGGTGAAAGTCAAACAGCGTACAGACTAGTAGCGTTTCACGTTTCGCCATGCTTCTGTGTATCGACTTGTAGCATATCGCCCCGCGCAAATATCATCAGCTGAGATTTCTATGGCGCGTGCAGGATTCACCGATCGACGGTGCGCAGTGGACGAGCCCGTAATATTAAAGAGGCGCTGCTATAGGATGTAAGCGTTTTACGCCACAAAATGGCACCCGAAAGATGCAGACAACTCGACCCGTGAACATCTCTGGCAACTGGAACTGCAACGACCTTCGAGCACACTAGAGGTGTCAATCGCTGCAAATATACGCATGAAGGTACGCCAACTCTTTGACAGTAGCGTCAACGTGGACCAATTAAAATATGATTAACAAAAAAAAATTCACAAGCGGGATGTGTATTTACGACACTGTTTACATCGCGTTCAGCTCAGATCAATCAGCCGATCTTTTACAAAATGATTTCCCTAGATCTCATCAGACAGTAGACAATGGAGCGCAGCGACCCTGTCGATTCAAGTCTATGACTTTTCAGCGCTGTCCTATCCTATCCTATCCTATCCTTTAGGTAAAATTAATGGCATACCATTATCGCTTCGGGCTGATTACGGTAATAATATTTGTCACACAATTATGACGCTGCTCATCCGTACAATCGAACTATTATCACGTATATGTAGCCATGTGACACTGTCGCAGCATATAGAAACAACATACTTGCGTAAAAATCGCAAACTATGAAAACCGCCAGCTACTGACACAGGATGACCAGCCGAAACAATACCCTTGTCCAGGCAAAAACGGGGTAACGAGACGAAGACACACTGAATTTCATTCAAATAATCACGTTCGAAGCGATGAAAAATGAAACACAAACACATGAGGCTGATTTGTTTATTGGCTACAACAACAAGCTTTAGCCAATAAAAACTGTTTATTTAGATTACGATGACAGATTTATGGTTGACTCATAGAAATTTACGGTATACGCCAAGTGTTTCGTTCTTAGCAGATAATAATAAATCTTTCTGATCGTCTATAGTAGACGACAGCAAGACCGCGTTCTGACAAACACAAAAATACAATAACAAACACGTTACGCTAGGTGTGAGTATGTCCGCACGGCTAGAGATAGCTACATATTTGAAAGCGGCAAACGTTACTACACGGTAGGTTTGAAAGCCTGTTGTAAACCTGGTCCTACCATTTATCATTCGAGTGTGTCAACACAACAGGCAATTGTACGCTTTAAAAGAGAAGATTTTTTCGTTTATGCTATGTTTGATCCGGGAATTTCTGACAGGCAGATGTAGGTGACGTTCACGTAACATATGAATTAGGCAAGCTTGGAATAATGGTTTGACTTGAGACACTCTGCTCTCTGTTGGTTTCGTTAGTCCAGCTCTTTACGCTAATCAATCATGTACAAGTAGCAAGAGATTCTGGCATCTCGTAGTAAGCGTTCTTTCGGATTATATTATAAAAGTTGTATATTCGAATCTGTCTGTTTTGCTGTTTTTCAGCGGAATCAGCTCTGCTAGAAATATATTCGGAATATCAATCACTTTATCCTCTAGTGAGAATTTGGGCTTTTATTAAACCCTTATTCGTTGACAGTAAAACATCTTCTTTGAAAAAGCTTAACTCTTAGGCTCAGATGAAAATTACGTGATTCGTTTATTGGTCTTCATCGACAAGTCCGCAAAATCTTCTTTCTAAATAAATGATAATTTTCAATTCTTTTTTTCTTATTACAAACTCATTGAAAAGAAATAGTAATTCAGTTTGTGGATAACTCAGTCAAACATCTGAGGCCGTACTATAACTTCACGTAACGGAGCCGGTTACTGATGCAATTCCCGGCTATGCTATAACAGCATACCTTTCCAAGGAAAAGCTTAAACGTACAGAGTACATTCGTGTTTTTCGTTCGGTATCTTAGCTATAAATCACAGTTTAACTCTAACTTGCTTTAACGTTACTCACGTCTCGCAAAGTTTTAATTCAGAAAGCATTCGAGTTTGATTCACTTATTGATGAACCTTGAAAATCAGACCTAGGCCCAAATTGGCCCATCGATAGCCTGCTTTGGCTTCCACAGTTTAAGGTAGTTTATATGGAAACATTTTCTTGATCAATTATTGCTTCCTGTACCAGGCCGAATGTATAGTATTATGCATGTCAATGTTTGTAATGTTTGTAATGTTTATATTTATTTTATTCATGTTTGTTAGCCACACGTATAGCATTAAATATAAGTAAAGAGGAAAAAAAGTTATTTTTTATCATCCTGCCTATCTCCAATAGCTTGTTTTTCCCACGATGCCAAAACGTCCCAATGAGCGACCTACTATCCTAAGTCAAACGATGCATTCTTGTCAATGAGCGAATACAGACGTACGTTTAGCATGAACGGTTAGCTAACTATGAAAGGCGTTCAGTATGCTGTTTATCTTGCGCTCTATACATGCACCATAGTCGTTTCTAGAAGGCTATTCATTGTGTCTCTTTCCGTAAAGATAAGCCATTTTTCGACGCGTTTGCAAATGGACAGCCGGGTCCAAATAAATTTACACATAATCCACAAAGTCTGTATTACATCTTGTCGACTAGCACGTTGCGGGACCATAGCACGCACACATTACAATGTCACTACCGTGTTAGCGTACCGAACATCACACCACTCATTGAATGTTTTTCATTGGCACCATGTTTACATGGATCTATCAGATTGATATACCGCTTTATTGGCCTCTTTCTAGTGTACGTTATTGTATCCGTCTTGTTTTGCGCTGGCTGTATTTCATTGATCCTACGAGGTTATACGCCTTGTTGGTGCAGTCAGAGGTCCTAACGGTTTTATTTCCCACGGAGTACGACGTATAATGCCAACTTCTAATTTCACGTCTTCATCTTCCATTAGCCTAAGCACTTGGATTATAGATATCCAGCCGTAAACATCGCACACGTGCTGATCATCTATTACACACTGTATTATACGTATATAAATTGAAAAAGTGGTCACAATTTAGCAGAGTGTTAGAAGAACCACAAGCAGTCCCTTTGTGGCAGAACGACCACCAGCTATCTGAATCCTTTCATGGTAGTCGATTCTATCGAGAGGTAAAGGTCCGCGCGCGCGCGGAAGGTAAGCGCCCTGGCCAGCGTGTTCAGTCGATGCTGTTGTCCTATGACGGACTGTCAAGGTGAGGAGGACGAACCCTAAATGGAGAACTGGTCTTTACCAACACCAGATGGTTAACCCATTGTTTGGCTAGCTAAATGATCCGTCCAGAACACTGACAGAACATAGAGATTTATACAAGAGTATACGATCGAAAAAAAAAAAAGAAAATCGGACGAGGAGAAGCGTGTATTGGTTACGATTTTTCTTGTTTATCTACTAAATAAGGAACGATAGTAGCGTTAGGCGTGAGTTGGATACGTAGGTGCTCAGTGAGCTCTGGCTTACTACTCTAATTAATTATAAAGTAAACAATGACTTCGTGACAAAGCAAACGATGGATTTTGCTTTTGTCTAATGTAAAATTTTCTAGTAAAACGCCACTAAAAAAGAGGCGTCTATTAGAAGCGACAAAGCCCGCAAAGTTTGCTACATTCGTATCAACGAAAAATAATGTTCTAGGCCTAATATTCTGTAGAAAATTGATTTTTCCTTAAAAAATATTTGAAACCGTCAGCGAGAGGCCGGTGCCGAATCGAACATTATTCTGAAATGACTCCGGCGCTATCGCGAAATCAACGGTCGTTATAGAACTGCAGCGACACTTATTTTATTAGTTTTTATAATAAACAATCTTCGACACGACTGGACAGGTGGTATTTCATTTAATCGATACTGGACGCCGATAGCCGATTAATTAACGTGACTGAGAATTATTAATACAACATAACCTCAACGACGTTCTTCCCAGGGCTTCGATCGTTGAGCCGAGCGCTGCTCAACTGGAATTGTCATCTATTTAAACGACCACCACGTCGAAGATTGAACTTCGGAACGTCCTTAGCCCTGCTGTCGGCTCTCGCTAATATTATTACTGCATAGTCGTAATACGTTGACTGAATCGCTATAGAAACGATCCTAATACCTCGTCGGCAGAGATAAATAATGAAGCAAAAAACGAGGAGACGCCGTCAGCTAACCTGATACACTCTTCTAGCTTCTGCAACTAGACGGTGTACGTGATTTCGCTGTTTCTGTCATTGTCGAGGGCTGACGTTCGGTTTTCGCGTTTGACATAGTCGACAGATGCCGACGGCGCGTCGAAGAAACACCATCATTTGGTACATAAAGACTGCGGAATGGCCCATACTGCATTCATATCGTACCATAAACGTGAGGATGACGTTTGATCGGAGGGACTACAGTCGTTCGGCTGCCTATAATAGCATTTCAGAGCTTTCAGCTAACGGCTAGTAGGTGTTGTCTGGCGCTGCTAATGAGCCTATGAGTGAGTAGTAAGCCGAGCTAGGCAGTACCGTAAGGCAGAAACTAGTATTTTACTCGACTCCGCATACATATTTATTACGGAGCGCGTGGTCACCCGGCCTCGTGCGTGGTAGATCCGGTGACGGTAATGATATTCGTTATATAGCCTGCATATAAGAATTTTGTATCGCATTTGACGCATGATTAAGGTACTCTGTCGTACGCTCGATTGAATCGCTCTGCATAGAGCGCTAGTCAAGCCTTGGAATCCGTTGAAACCATGTAACCTGTCTCATATAAGGCGGTGCCTAAATAAAATGAATACTTTACACATGATTTATTTACTGAATTCAGGGCATTCAACACCGTTATGAAATGGTGCAGATTCCGGTTGGCTGAATGGCTTTTTTTAAGGTGAACTTTACTGTAAAGTTATTTAAATAGAACTGAGACATAAATATAGATAGGGGACAGACTATTGTTCTACTGAACTGTCCGATGAATGTATTGTGCCGCGAGCTAATATGACTTTTTGGTTTCGACGTCTCTAAACGAAGAACCGCGGTAATGACTTTTGCCCTGATATAAACTGCCACTTCTTTTATTTAATAATAGCAAAACGGGTATTATATATATGCGTATGTGTGTGTATTTAGATTTTTACTAATTCGATTGTTGCGCAAATCATCTATCGAAAAAATGCCCGTAAAAAATTATCAGCTGCCGTATGGACTAGATGCAAAAATGTAGACATTAACTCTTCTAGCCGATATTCAACGTTATTTTCTAAAGCAGTGTCGAGATACCGGTGACTGAAGTAATGCCATTATCATTTATGTTCTTATGCCGCTTATTAAATAAGTCACGGATTTCCTTGCAGTAGAGTTTTTTGCTTTTTGAGTTCAAATAGCCGGAGATGAATTTTTTGACTTTAAAAAGCTGTTTTCTAGTTAAGCAGCCCGATATGGCATTGATCTAAATAAGCAACAGTGCCAAAAAGCAAGGAGGGTGAAAGTGCGGAGATGAGCGCTATGCTGCAACGGGCTTTTTTCTTCTATCACCAATAAAGCCCTTTTAGTTTCAATTGAACTATTTAGTCTTATGGGCATTATATATCCGAGTTAACGCTTTAACAGAGCTTTAGAATTTCAAAACGAGCAGCGTTCCCTTTCCAAAATGGAAAACACACAGGGAAACCTTCGTTCGGCAGATATTTTCGCTTCCGCAAAATTCGTAGCTATTTCGAACCAACTTATGACGATGTTTTGTGTTTCGTATCGGTATAGAACGTCAATTGGTTACTACCAATACCAGCTTAATACAAAGGACCCTTTTGTACCCGTCTCAGTTCGTTGTACAAGATGCAGCGTCATATCTATCCTTTCGACCACATGCCAGCGAGTTGAAACTGTTTACTAACGGTAGAGTTACTCTCAACTAATTAGCAGGTTCTCACTTAGTTTGAGAGTAAAACTTTCGTCCAATAATGCCTGAAGTTCCTCGAACGTCTCGCAACGCCTACCTAACGTCACCTACTAAGAAATGCTCTGACTCATTATCACACAACATTTAATAAATATATTCTATTGTTTGGTTAGCATTATTTTTTATTTGGAAGATGACCAGCATATAATGCCTCAAGTAACGCACTGGAACCTTATCCGGGTGTGTATCTTGTACCCACTATATATTTCAAAGCAGATAGCTCAGATATTTCAAAAGACGTAGAGTGATCCCTGCGAAAAAGCGACAAATGTCAGAGCAATTGGTTCCTCACAACTTGGACGATTGAAACAGTCCAAGTTTTTGTACAAACTCCACTTTTGCCTATTATTACGGTGTTTCTGACTTACCATTCTTGTGGGGGTGGCTGGCCGTTGGAACTCTTGTTCGCGTTCGTGGGAGTAATCTTCGTGTTCGAACCCGGAGATCATGGCCCGTGTAGGAAGAGATGGCTGTCGTCGAAGCGCTGATTTTGGCGAGTGCTGTGCGTAAGGGGACCCTGGAGAACGAGGTGAGTGTGGCAATGAAGGGGAGATTGCTGCACGTTGGAGGAACGGCATCGTATCCGATACGTGTCGCTGTTCACAGGGTGGCCCACGACAACAATTAAATTTGGCTCATTTGTTATAGCCGTAATAGCGATCAGTCACTTACTGTACAACATGTGACTCAGGCATAGGGTTCTAAAACGCCTAGAATTAGGTTGTCAACTATCGATTGTATGAGATAGATAACGATAGTTTCGATCAAATAATTAGCCATTTCCAAGAGTAGATTTATGAACAAAGCAGTATTTAAAAGAGGTGTTACCATTATACGTACGTAACGTAAACGTAAAAAATTAAATTAGACTTATAATCATGTGCCACATAGTGGTCTTTACCACAGGTTGTACGGCCTTGCGTGTCATGGTTTCGTCCTTCTTGATGACGGTTACCACAGGTTTTCCAGCGGTGCTTGTTGTGTCTTGATCCAGTGAGTATTTCAGCTCGATTAGGAGCTGATCTTCCTGTCTGCGCTTAGTCGATTGTCGATCTTCAACGCTGTGCTTTTGAGCCAAGACGTGCTTTTTCCACTCGAGCCAGCTTGCTGGAGAGTAGTCGCTGCACAGGGTGTAAAAGAAAAACATTGCTCATTTCTATGTAAGCTATGGAAGTGTCAGGTGTTTCTTATTAAAGCAACTGCAGAATTTTTCCACTGAGGAAAGATTTCGATTATTCAAAGGAACCCAAATTGGCGAGGCCAAAGATATTAGTGCTACAGAGATACGCTTCAAATTCCCTATAAAAAATCTATCTGTGAGGCCCCGACGGAATAACATACACACGGAAATTCGACAACTTTAGATTGTGTACAAATGTCTAATACTGTCGATATGCGTTAATTAACAGAATGCTATACAATGTCAGCTAAGCTTGAAATATGAGTTATAGATATCTCTGTTAACAGTTTTTTTGCAGGCTTAAAATGCTAACTTTTCTAATATAAATTTACCGAACAAACCTGTTAGGCTAGTATACCCACAGTCGAATTAAACACACCTACAGAATGCAAACAAATTGGAACCGCTAGACATATCTAGCTTGAAGGCTGAAACATTGCCTGGTCATGCGACTAGTCCGTAAAATACCCCATTGCAAACCTCAGTTCTAACTTGATAATAAACGGTTAGCTTATTGTTTTGTCCGTGTGTCAACATCGTAAGAGATTTACCAAAGGTCGGAACTAAATGTTTTCAACCGTAAATCTAGAGTGTAAATTCAAGGGAGGAACATAAGGTTTTATACCGGAACACTGGAATGACAGTAATCGTAACATTAAAGTAATTGGCAAAATGAAAAATATAATGTTATTCTGTTTGTATCAATACAATTCGATTGTTTCAGAATTGTCCTTATTACCCTCTGCTACTAAATAGCTGAAGACTTGTCACTCCCATACTGTGCAGAGATTTACCTTCTGTAGTCAGATGACCGTCATTTACGTGTGACAGCCTGTTGCAAACGTATGGCAGCAGTGCTTCGTTGTGTTAAAGTTGGGATAATTAGCGATCGTGCTTACCGATACATGGCAGTTTTTCGAAGATGACTAAACACTTTATAAACAGTGAAGATAGACTCGAACAATGAAAACTGAGAACTTGCTTGTATATTAAAACAAGAACTACGAGTTAATTTACCTTTTGTTAGGTAGTAGCGTAATGGGTAAGAGTTACCGCCCGTATTGTTAGTTGCGTCCCTAGCGTTATGTGGTCAGAGTGACACGCTTACAATGACGAGGTCTCAGATTCGAGTGCCAACCCTGGCTTGCATCGTATTGTAGTCCGAGTCGGCCATTTTCTCAAATACAGCTGTTTAACTAGGGCAAATCACAACATACGCAAGTTGGGTTCCTACAACACCGCGGATATCACTGCCCATTGGGGTGATATTGCACAGGGGGCATGTCGACCTTTTAAAAATATCATTCGAAGGCTGTAACAAACGATGTGCATACGCGCCGTACGTAATGTATTACGTATTTTTTTTAGAGCTACTGGGAGATATTTTAATATAAGTTACCAAAGATTTACACAGTCGGCAGCAGCATGAGTCTAAAACGATTTATGAGGCTTATATTTGACACCGGTCCGAGTAGTTTACGAAGACAATCTCAATATCTCGGAAAGGTACTGGGAAGTGATTTAAACGAAACTCTGAACCTCAATTGCTTCTAATAACACAAACATCTATGGGGGAACATATTTATCCAGTGTCCATTCAGCCCTCCTGTGCACTGTCACGGTACCTCTAAAATTCATTGAATACCCAGATGTTAGTCTATAAATAAAGTCTTATTTTTGCATTCGAACACTTGCAAATCATACTTGAGTATGTTCATAGAAAATCGATATCGGAAGCTCAAATTTCGTTCAGTCCCTATAATTCGTATTCAATCCAATATATAGTGGTCATGCGTTCGTAAAACGTCATCAAGTAAACCTTTGGGATAGAATCCACAGTCCATTCAGAATTATATCATCGAACGTAATTTGCGTAAGCGTGAACGCCTGAGCCTCAAATGAAAGCTGTACACTCAGCTTTAACACTATCCACAATGCGGTAAGTAAGTCACTGACTACTGGGGTGATAGAACAAGTTACGAAGGTGCTTGGATGGGTGGGTACAGGTTCTAGCTCACTTTATCGTTTGCTTATATATATATATATATATATATATAGAAGTCGACTGTTTTGGGTGGCTTGATATATCGATAGGCCCAGAAATATCTTAATGTTCATCACGTTATTTAGGCGATCATACTAACTATTGTAGTTCTTGGTAAATTGAACAGGCTACAGATTCTTGACTTCGGCCTTGTGGGTGGCTTAACTGCAGCTGTCTTTAGCTTATAGGCCAAGATTGTATTTATACAAACGCTTAGAAGAAACTAGCGTAACGTATAATCGCGATCTGTATGTTGCGATTAAATAAGCTAGTTCTCAGAGATAAACAAAGGCCAGAAAGTTTACCGTAGAGTAACGTTTCGTATACGTTGACCACTCACAGTTGGACAGTTTTATAATATGGTTCTGTTACCTATAGATTGTTAGATATCAAGATTAACTAATCTGGGAGCGGAAGACACGTCTCTTCTTCGTGTCTAGGAGACTTTCAATTAGTCAACTAAGTTTAGCGTAAATCTTTGGGATAGATACTATAATTCTTCAAACTCTCTACAATATTAAGTGATGTTTTTACTATGCGGTAGAGATTTTTCGGAGAAGCTAAATTACACAACACTTCGAAGAGTTCGAAATTAGAGCCAAGTGATCTGTATCGCGTGGGGGGGAATTAAACGTAAGCCGTAATTATCTCAAGCCAGTGCACTGTCGTTATTCGATGCCGCTTATAATATCGCATCAATTAACTTTATATATACATAAAAATAAACTTACCACCGTTATTGTACTATATCGACAATAGCCATTACGATAACACTACCTAATCATGTTAGGGCTTTCGCTTACGCGCAGGGTCAGCGAGAGTAATGAATTTAACCGGCTGCATCCCAGCATGAAAAAGATCTTCCCTAATGCCACTGTAAACGATCTCAGCTGCGTCTAGATAGCTTCGTCAGATATCTGTTTTTTGAGACAGTCTCCGCAGGAGGGCAAGGCTTTTTAGAAGTAAAGGGCAAATCAGCAGCCAATTAGCAGTATACACAGATACATATATATATACCATAAGGCGGATGCGTGTTGTTCTGTTCCGTTGGAATTAATCGGAAAGTTAGGCAGATGTCTTAGCTTCTTTTTTATTGACACATGTCAAATCATCCGCTTAAGAGGCACAACTTGTCAACACCAGTGAATGCATTAGAGCTACAAGGATAGAACAAAGATAAGCGAAGGGACGATGACTTTAGTCTTTTTTTTTCATTTGTATGAATGTATCCAAAGATACACACCACATGTGATCGCCAGTTATTAAGGCATTCGGGACAGGTATATGGAAACATAAGCTTACGACCTTATGTATAGGTTTTAAAAAATCAGCTATTTAAGGTACACTGACGAGACGCTCTAATAAGTGACCTTTGTTCATATTATAGTCTAAAAATTTCACATAGAAATTCAAGAGCGTATATCTGGTGTGGAAAGCACACAGATAACAGCAGATTACCCTCAGTTTTGAATCATCAAACACCGTTGAATAGAGTCTGTAAGAGCTCACATGCTGTGATGTTTATCAAGCCATTGGCTGGGCCGCATACCCCAAAGGCGTCGTCGTCCTTCAAAAAAGCAATGGTAAGCCTCTGAGTGCAACCTTCCTGTAACAGTAGGTGAGAGTGTGCAACCTACTATTCAGGTTCTGGAATCCGATAATCCTTTTCTTCCGGAGGTCTCCTGCCAACGCCCTCGGTAACGTACGATCCTTCAGCGAGCAACTTTCGTTTTTGCAAAACCGGACTGTTCGGGTGAATACCGTAGGAAAAAGGTGAACACGTCCTCCGCGAATGAAATGATCTATTGGCCTCGAGTGGCGTCACTGGAGCATACTTGTAGTAGTTCCGCGGTGATAACGGCGCCGGGGGGTGCATCTGTGAAGCAAAACGGTTTCCTCTCTCTTATATGTATGCTTGTTAAAAAATAACTTAACTGTTCTATACATATATATGCAGTGGCTTGTTATAAATACATCTAAAACAGACAGTGAATTACGAATTAAATTGGATTGATTATAAAATATACAGTACTGTTCAACAAAAATGAATGAATGGACAATCGAAGATCTGATCAATGATTTGAATGTAGCTTGCCAATTAAGTTGTTATTAAAATCAGAGAAAATTAAGCGCAGTGACTCGACGCCATCGTCAGAATAAGCTTCGACGTAAAGTAGATAAAAGTTTTCGAGCTGGTTCGATGCCGTAGGCCCAGTAGTTCATCCATTTTTAAATGAATGGCCGAACGCCGTGTAAAGCATCGAACGCCAAAATAGCTCTGCCCTTACAAAGGGCTTCATGGTTTCAACTTGTATGTATGTTAGAAAGCAGAAGTAGAAATAGAAAGCAGCATTGTCGCTTTTCAGACGTATGAGTCACTATAATGCTTACGAGTTGGAAAGCCGCAAGCCTAATATTTGCTTACGAGGGGTTCATTAAAAGAAAACGGTCACTCCCTGCGCCTTTCCAGCGTGAGCAGCTTTCTTAGCTCATTACACAAAATATTCTATTAAGGCACATTCGTAATGAGAGGCTTCTTACACAAATGCATAGCGAAGATGGCCAAGGCAAACGATTTTGCAGATAGTTACATTGCCTAATCCAGTGCTCTTGCCACCATGAACGTTAAGAACTTCACACGGCTTACTTCCCTCACAATATTCTGCACTCGTCTTACGTACGTAAATTCAATCGCCACTTCGAAAGCTCTCAGTTTTCTTGACAATCAGTCGTAAGACGTGGAATCCGATCCACGATTTCCGAACTTAATTTACATTCAGATTAAGTAAAGCTATTTCCTTTTATAAAACAATGTCCTACTATGATGATCATAGATAGTTTTAGAGTCGAAAGTAAGATGAACGCGGTAAAGAAAACTCATCGAATTTCGCACCTTAATTAGCGTCTAAATCACACCGAGTCGGGACCATCTACCCCCGTTTGTTCGAACCAACTGCGGCGTAATTTTTATGCAGATCGTTCCAAGAGCCTCCTCATTCCGAATTAATCTTGCCTATCTAATACGAATGGTTTTACGGAAAATCTACCGATCATTAACTTTGCCCTTTCTTAAGCGGTAAGAAGATTGACGAAGTACTTTAGTGTTGCATTGAACTTACTTGGTCGTATAAAACGGAATTACTTGTTATAATTTTAGAGTAAATCTGCTTACCCCCCGGAAACCTAACCTGTTTACATGACAATCGTGGCTGCCAACTTCTAGAATATTCACGTTTCAGGTGCTATAGGTGTATTTTAATTAGAGCAATTTTTCTCGCTCAAAATAAGACACTCAGAAATCAAGCGTGTAGTTATAATAAAATTAATTGGTTTTCAAGTTATTTATAAACTTTTTTGATGGCGTCCAGTGAGCTGAGGTGCATACTTCAAGGACTCATCTTAATATGGCGTTGATCCGAGTGCGCGTATCTAGATAAACTAAACCGTTGTATCTAATAGACTTTGTTATATCAGACATAAATCTTCGCCGCAATCATTGTCGCAAAGGTTCTTCAAAAAATGGCATTGTCTGTTTTACGTCTTCTAATCCCACTATAATAGGACCTTGCTGTCGGCCTAGTTCACTTCACTATACACCTCAATAGGTTAGACGGTAAACAGAGCGTATTTGGGTAACCTTTTTTTTAATACGTGCGTATAACGGTAAGAGGAAAAATATGAATATCCATAAAACAAGCAGGTTTGGGATCGGCCTATGCGCGTTGTTGGCCTAGCATGCGCTAAATGTTGTGCTCGATTGTTCACAGTTGATGCTAAACAGTGTAACTTAACATGACCGCTATATTTTTCATACATTCTTCAATTAAACATTATGATTATTACATTCTCATCGTTGGTTATTGTAATAGCACGTTCACCCATCAATGTTCTCCCGTCTTGTGTCATTGTCTATTTCAAATTTTTGCGCCATAGCGTTTCCAGATTTAATTCTCAGTGAATGTGAGTCTAACCTGCATTCGTTTAAATTTCCTGCCGTCATACCGTTCATTTGGCTCAAACCGTACAGAATTTCTAACAAAGCAAATAATATTACTCAGATATCATTAGAACATAGATAAGTTACTCGGCTTTTCCGATTTCGAAGATCACAGAACGGGCGGGCTACCATTCTGTCCCCAGCAAACAATACCCTCCCTAACAATAGCCCTCTAGGGACGATCCTTTTATTTACTCTGCGGCGGCTGCTAAGTAAACGCTAATTGCACGCTTCATAAGTCAGGACACTGTCTTCTATTCTAGAAAGATAATTAGATTTGTTTGCCTCAATCGGTCCGTTTCCTCCGCGAGGGGAAGTCGCATTGATACCAGAGCTTTCCACCAACCTTATATCAACATTGACAAAACAAATGAACTTCATGCACTGACAGTCTATAGAAAAATAGAAGCTGTCTATCTTTGACTCAGACTCAGAGCTCCGCGCAGATAATGTCATGGCAATAATGTCCGTAGCGATGGCAGGACATGCAAAGTCAGGAAAATATCAGAGAAAAGCCACACACTATAGCATATCATTAACACAAATGTCATATTTAACAAACAAATGGCAAAGCTACTTAAACAATCTTGTCAATGATTTACACTGTGGAAAAGATATTATTACATAATTTAACTAAGGCAATGATTTTCTAGGCGTCGGTGTCTCTCTGAAATTCCGCTAGCCGGCCCCCTCTTTAGGGATCTTCTTCAAGGGAATTTTACACTGGCTTCAGGTGCGAACCGATTCTTTAGACCATTGCTTTTCTAGACCGATTTTATTCATTATTGCATCGTAAGTTAAGTCCAATGTTCATCTATATTCTAGCTCAGAAGCTTCATTTTTGAAAATTAAACGTTTGATACTCGTAATACTCTTAACAAGCACCGTGTGCGCTGCGCGTCGAAAAATTCATATGTTCTCAAGACAAAGGGAAAACAAATATTGAGTTTTTTCTTCATAGTAATTTCAGTATTCTTCTTACCTTTGAGACCTATTAATTCGCTTCTCTTGGATCACTTGTTTCACCTTCTAGGGTTCAAGTATTTCGAATCTGAATATATTTACGCGACAATCACGATAATATTATATTCTCTTTCTCAAAGTTCTGTAGCATATCCCTACTGATCAGCTAACAGGCTACTTAATATTATTATTATCACTGCTTCATAATGTTTCTTCATTCGCCATGTCTAAATATGTACACGCGATAAGTCGATTCTACATACCTACACTGAATATACACGTGATACAGAAGGCGGACACACGCAGTGTCACAAACCATATATCGCGTTATGCCTATGTGGAAAAGTTAACAAATCTCAACAGACTTGCTTTTACTTTTCATCTCCCTTTATTGATTTATCCCGGTTAGCTACGGCGTAACGATGTATGGGTCAGTTGTAGAACAACGTGGGGGCAGGTCATTTTGTTTGAAACAGGGCTTAAGATCTCTCCAGGGAGAACCGTACAGGCACCGGTGGGCCGATCTGTCGGCCTGCGGAACCCGTCTGCATAGGCCACAGATGACGATAGCTTTCTCGTTCTACCGCGACTAAGCTAAATACTTGCTTCTGGCTTGGGTAGGGCGCTCTTCACGTTTTAGACGAACTGCCACACACACAAATCTATGTTCGACGTGTGGGCATTACTACCTAATACATGATGAGGAAGGTCACAACTCAGCCAGGTACCGCGCGTAGCCAGCGCCGCTACCGTACCTCACTCGTTGCATTCTACTACTATGAAAGTACAATATGTCGTGGAAGTACCACAACAGCGTGTTGAGCGGACCGTCAATAATGGCGCGGGCTTGCTACGTCCCACGAGGTGGTACGGGCGGAAGGGAACCTTTATACCTGCGGCTGAACCTCTTTCAGGAAACCGCCTACCCGGTGTGTCCGACGCTAGCTGTGAACTAGGACAGGTTACGCTGAAGTACGCTCATGGGTCATAATTATGAAAGCATTCAATAGTACAATTTTTAGAGTGGGATAGTTTGAAGAAGGATAAAACTGTGACGACCAACAAACGCTTTGAAGTTCCCAAGTAATGAGCGCTTGTTACGTGAATCGTGTCGTTGAGGTAGCGCGTCCCGTCGACCAAAGCAGAAACAGATTTGTCATGAGTAAACCTTGTACCTTCAGTGAGCCCCATGCATGAATTCCTTTTTAGCAGCTGTACATTTTGCAGCAAGAGGGTTAAGCCGTTGTTACGCTAAATGTTAGGCTGAATCACTAAACTGAAGAAATTGCTTCTTTCAAGTGCCACATATTAACCGTTTGTAAGTAAATTTGAATAGGAAATAGCTCATTTAACGTCAGATTTAATGACTGAAGTAAGTTCCCATCAAAAGGATATTAGACAGTATTTTAGTTAAATAAATACAAGATGTTAGAGCTTATCTTGGATCAATAAACGATTGTATTAAATTTATAAACAATACGAATGACGGTACACTGCCTAAATAATGAAAGGTATGCTGCAAATAGTGATTCATAATTTCTGCGTGACAATATTTTGTGTTGTTTGAAAATTGATTTTGCCTCAGCGTTGATTACCAAGTAAATTAAATTGAACTGACGCAATATTGATGATTGATTATGCCTACTTTTTTCTATGCGCAACACATAAGGGCGTCAAATATTTTCGAAAATGTTCTAAGATCGTCAGCATTCGCTTTACATCGGGAAGCGTCTGCTAAATGCGCGGATCCGTTGATCAGTTGCTGATGGGTGCATTCGTACATCCAAATGCAACCATGTTATCTTGACCAATAGTCAGTGCAAGTCAAGAAAATCTTGAATCTTCCTGCTTCATGTTGTGGCGGATCAGAGTGTGCTAACTATGCACGAGACTAGTTCAGCTTCGGTTGACATGAC